CGTAAAATAATAAACCCTTTTCTAGGCTCCACAGAATGATCTACCCTGATACGTATAACAGTATACGATTCTAATGAAAACGTAGAATAATATACTCTAGTGGGTAGAATAATAAATGTTTTTGATGAAGACTTTGGGTAATGAACCCTCAAATACGCGTTACATACCCTTTTCATTATCATATACCCTCATTGCTATAAACCTTTGGGTCCATGAACCCTTCCAGGGTATATGACATCGACGTAAACCCTTGAAGGCTTTATGGAGCCGTTTTTCTAGTGTAAGAGTTGATTATTCTACGGATTTTTTTCAGTGCATACCAGAGATGTTGACGGGTTAACCCGTTTTGCATCAACCCGCCCGACCCGTGACCCGACCAGTAACCCGCGGGCGGGTTGGATCTTTGACGGGTTACGGGTTAACGAGTTAGGTATTTTCAGGATTTACGGGTTTGCCCGGTCGGGTTATATTTTTACATGAACCCGCTGGTTCAACCCGTTTCAACCCGTTGACCAATTTTCCTTTTCGTCTTCTCATTTTTTCTTTTTTACATAGACTTACGTTCACTATTTGTTTCATTTCTTCTTTCCTCCGCTGGTTCAGCTGCTCTCACTATTTCTTTCGTTCTTCAACATTTAAATTTTTTCTATCACTTGTTTTCACTATATCTTCGTTCTATTCATTCATCTAATTGTTTTGAAGCATATACACATATAAATGCGCTTCTCTTTCTAAGCTTGTTTACAGAAATAATAATATCAATCAATTTTTTTCATTTCTTCACATTTTCCCCGTCCGCTTCTTTTTACATTGTATACGTGAACGTATGCTGTTACTTTCACTTGACTATTTATTTTCTTGAACTTAACTTGAAATTTTGTAATACTTATGTATGTGCTCAGGAATAAAAGATAATATCCTAATGATAAAAATGTTAGTTTCAAAACATACTAAAAAAAGAACCAATTAAAAAAAAGCTAATGAATTTTTTTGCAAATATTATACTGATTAAAGTTACATTAACCCGCGGGTTAACCCGCGGGCAGCCCGTGACGGGTTGATAATTCTTCAACCCGTAGACTAACCCGCGAGTCAAAAAAAAAATCGTTCAACCCGTCAAGCGGGTCGGGTTCGACCCTCAACGGGTCGGGTTTGCGGATCGGGTCAAAAAAAAGTCAGTCACCAACATCTCTGGTGCATACCCACACTCACCTCACCCACCCACACCCACACCAATATCCACTACCACACCCACACTCGTGCCCACAACCGCAACCCACACCCATACCCACACCCATATTTTTTTGAGCTATTTGCATTCAATGATTAGGTTTTCTTTATTAGAGATTTGTTGAAGAATTCGTTACTATAATAAAACTGATTATAAACGAAGGTAGTAGTTTATAGTAAAATTTGTTACATCCATGTTAATATGTACAGAACTAGCATAAGTTTTGTCCCAAATCATTTTGACTTATTATTAATGTCATCAATGTATTTTCGAATAGTATCATCAGACGACTTGGAATGAAAATGTTTAGTAAATAAAAAACAAAAATTGCCAGTATGAGCTGATACATTCCGAGATAATATCAAAGAATCCCTTAGTAAATTCAACGATGGAACATTCAAAACTATTCCACCGCTATTTGTTTGAGATTGTTACTATTCGATCGTTCATGATATGAAGTAGAAAAATCTGTTTTCTTTTGGCTTTTTGATCTGTGTTTGTTCTGTCAGCTAAAGAGAGGATTCATATGAAATATAATTGTGATTATGTGTGTTTACATGCATGTTTATATTCACGTGTCCACATATTTTTCTGCTTTTGTTCTTTCGACTGAAGAGAGGAACCATATGAAATACAGTTGTAATTATGTATGTTTACTTGCATTTTTGTAATCACGTGTTCACACATATTTCTGAAGTGTCAGACCAACTATTATAGATGGCTGCTTTGTGTTATACTTTCAGAAAATCAAATGTTTTCACTACCTAGGTCAAAAAATCTGATATCCGATCTTGCGCATACAAGATTTTTTATACGATCCTATTACAAGACCCGACAATATCGTATTGGTTTATTTTTTGTACAATTTTATCAGATTCTGAACAAAAGGTACCAGCAAACATCTTACAAGAATCATACCATACGAAACGTATAAGGACAGATATTAGGACACCAACCTGATCCGACACGACCATATATGTTCTCTCAGCAAAGAAATATGTATGGTTCAGAGAATATGGATCATAAATGATCATACAAAATTGCATACGAAAGTCTATCCGAAAACACATGCCTATCGATTTCACTCGATTTACTCGACAATGAAGATTTCTTAAGAGCAATGGTTTTTTTTTTTCTTTAACATCAGACATGTATTTAACTCACCAAGCGAAGACACGACCCTCTACGAGCAAAAGAAAAATCAACATTCAAGTGTCTAATCATTTCTACATAGGTATATAAGCCCATATAATAATACGTTGCAATAATGGAATACGAAAACAAAACCGAAGTTCCAAAGAAAAACATGACAGTCTAATGACCAATCCGGATACCATATTCGAGCAAATACAAGCAATTATGACTAATCGGTTCGCAGCGATGTCAGCCATAGGCGGCTTCTGCTATAACTTGCAGTGATTAGGAGGCCACAAAAAACAGACATTCTCAGAAATTTTCCTCATGAGACAGATTTTGTGGAGGTATTTCCGCCGATCATTTTGGCAAAAAATTTGAATTTAGCTAACAAATGATGTTATTCAAATGAAACTATTGAAAAATCTTAGGTAGATCTGTCGTTGAAGCTATAGCATTGTTGTTTATTTCTCGAATAAAAGCTTCTTTTACCCAAATGATCACCACAGATAGCTTCACAAAATCTGATCGACGAGCTAAATTTTGTGAGGACCTTTAGTTTTTATGGATCAGTATTCGTGGAGAAACCAAATTATACTCCTGAAGTCTTGAAACTTTTTACCATTCTGTAGTCTATTATATTCCTATAAACGTTTCAGCTGTAATCTCTCGAAGCACATATTGGACAATCCTGCAAGATAAAAGCGCCGCGAAAAGGTTAAAGAAAAGAGGCTGAGCTTGACTGACGTAATCAATGGGGTCTTGACGTGACCTATCCCTGTCCCCTTTCAAAACACTTGACCACCATTAAAAGGATCCGATACAATTAATAATCTTCTCCTAATTAGGCAATCACTGATTTTGGGTGTGAGTGTGGATATACATAAGAACAACACACCGTACCCAAAAGGTAAGTTCCATGCAATAAATTCTAAAAGAAAAAATCATTGAATTGAGAAGGTTGTAGATATGAGTACTTTATTTATCTTGTCGTCCACTCATACGAACACCCACACCCTTTTTCAATTTATTTCTTTGTTATGTTAGAGAAACAAGAGGAATAAGTTGGATTATCTGAAATGTTTATGCAATCAAGTTTTATTTCTTTAGTTGACACTGAAGAAAGCCTATTGTTGTGTACCATTATCTGTTTGTCAACGATGTAAACCACTTTCGATCGTATACAAATATGATTTTATTTTCTTTGTTCGTCATGTTTGTTGGTCTATGCTTCATGTTGAGTATTTTTCTGTTCTCATGCGCAGCGCTTCTGAAGAAAGTGCCTGGTTGAAAGCAATAAGAGAAAACAAGATAAACAAAGTTTTTTTTTATATTGCAAAGGTAATAAAAAAGTCCTCGAACAATCGAACGACGCAATTTGCATATACAACCTTTAACTAAGTTAGAAATTATTACTACTGAAGTTTTCCGAAAAATTCTATTCTGATTGTTGTATCTTGGTAAGTAACTTACGACTATGGCTTCTAAGCCGATCTTCTAGTCCTTTAAAAGTCATAGGTATAACAAATGTATGATTAGAATATTAATTACAAAGAATCAAGACAGAAATAAAACACATATTCATCACGGATTTTCGTTTATCTGATCGACTTATGATTTTTTAGTCAGAAATCTATTAAGTATATTTCTCTGTATGCATTATACACACCCTTATTGATTGAGCGGTTCTTTCTTATAGAATTCTGTCCACATTTTAGATAATTACCTTTCTAAGTGTATTTTATTCTATTTGTGAGCTTTTCGCGATTTTCAGTATTGAGACCCTAGTACAGGTCATCAGACAAATTTGGATAGAAAATACTCGAATCTAATCCTAACATTACTTACGAAAAATCTGTCTATCTACAAATATTTATAACAATATCTCAGTTTAGAGCAGTGAACTAACGGATTTCTATAACAAAAAAAACGCTACAAATTTTATTCTTGATGACATTTCTTATTGATTCCAATACAGTGTTTCTAAAACTCTGATTTTCTTTTTTTAATATGGACAGAATTTTATTTTAATTTCTTCAATCAAACGAATTAATTATGATTTTGAAGTATAAAGGAATATTACAACAGAAAATGTAAAGGATGTAGTTTTACATTCGGTGACATCTACACAAGTATCATATGTATGGTAATTGATTTTCTTCACTAATATATATTGACTATATTGACATATCTTTCGTATTTCGATTCTCAACTGTTAATAAACATCGATGTTTGTCATGTGTTAAATAGTTCTGTTCTATAGGAAGTAGACAAAACAGGAGATACCTGAAGAAATATTTTTTTTTTTCTTTTATAACACATAAAGGATACAACACGTGACAATGATAGTGCTTAAATCTGTTATGAAATGTATTGACCAATGAATTTATTCACAACTTTATAAAATCTATTGCAATTTTTTTCATTATAGAAAAAAAAAAGCTTTTTAAGATGTTTCGTTTTTTGGTAAGAATTGAATGTTAAGTCAATATCTAAATCTGAAGTTCTTAGAATTTGTTGGAAGAGATTTAAATATTTTGTTTTTTTAAATCGTACTTTTACTCATTGTTATTCATAGGAATTTTGTTTACAGATTCGATATTATTCTAAACTTACTGATTTTTCAAACATACAAATGAATGATCATCAAAATAAACCGAATCTATATGAACGTGAAAAGGAACCAAGTGACGATAATTTGCAAAAACCTGATATTTATATTAAATATTTACCATTCTATGAATCTATCAAACGACATGGTTTTGAATCATTTGATGAAATTCGAGAAAATCTATCTCGTACTATTCAATTAGGTGAATTGCATCCGAATTTCTCGGTTTGGTCAAATGCACTGAAACGATTCATTGACATTTACGGTTTCTATTTTACCAAAGTTCATCATCTCAAACTTATTAATTTTTATATATCTATTCTTTCCATTTCGGATCTTAATTATTCTCATGCAAAAATATGTTTTGATATGCTCTTTCAACTTCTACAGTTCGTATTTCATTTATTTTTCTTATAGTTGACAATAAAATTCTTTAGAAAAACTTGTTTAATTACACGTAATGAATTAACAATCGATTGGCGTATATTATATCGATGGGCTAAACTCATTTTATATAATCATGATGAACAATATTCATTAGTTAAATTACCAAAGTTCGTTTCTTTCATATTTTTACTATTCATAAGAATACTTCGAAAATTTTTCAGATTTATTGATATTTCGTTCAATTGTTGTATTGAATGCTGTTCTTCATACTTTTCGGTAACTGCTACTCAAGAAATTCTTGATCAATTTCGTCCATATTTATGTCCATATGATTCAGCCTTTTCCGATGCTATGAAAATGTTTGATTCATTTCTACCAATCGATCTACCTCCAGGTTTACATAATCAAGGATTTAAGTATGTGTGTTTTATTTTTAATCAATTTGATTCATATTATCTTTATTTTAGATTATGGTTAACAGAATTGTTTAATATTTGGGATTGTATTTATAATAATACTGATAGTGATTTATGGGAAATGGTTAGTTTATTTCTTCGTTTGTTGTTTTTCTTTTCTATTGATAACGCTGATGTTTTAGTATCTAGTTCATCTCTTTTCAAATCTTGCTTGGTATAATATTGGTTATATAGATTGGGAACCTTGGTTAGCACAGGTGACACACAATTGATATTTTAATATATATTTCTATTGTTAAAATATTTGTTAATATAGATTTTTACACGTATACTCAATCGTTTTTCACTTCCAATAGGAAAAAATAATGAATCACAAAATAGTTCTCCATATATGATGACAGATGTAGCACGATGGTTTGTTGCTATGATAGGAAATAGAAGTTCATGTCTTCAATATATGCATGAACTATTTATTGCTATTAAAACTTTTTATTATCCATCAAATACTGGAGAATTTCAAAAATATTTAATTGAATTGATTTTACAATTGACTGAACAATTTGTTGAACGAGTACGATTGTGAGTATAGAGAAATTCGTAGATATTATGTTTGTTTTTTTGATCACAAGAATTATACTAGAGAACGAAAAATTCGTCCTCATTGGAATTTTAAACCACATGAATCGTATCGATTAACTGAACAAAATATTACGAATTTTGTCAATTGTATTAAAGATTATGTATTTATGTCTATTTGTAATCAAGATTATATTGAAGATGCAGCTAAAGCTTGTCAATATCTTTCCATACTACGACCAGAATTAATTATACCACCGATTATGGACAGGTTGAATATGCTCTAATTCATTTTATATTGATTTTTTTTTCTATAGACTATTCTTATCAATTGATAATATGATTGAACCCGATCGTTTCACATTAATTATGAAATGTTTACCTGGTATTGTTCGTCAGATAGTACGACAAACAACAACTTATTCAGAAGGTCAAATTTATGTTTTACCTTTATTAATGTCTATATTACCTGGAATTGATTCAAATGATTCAGAAAAAGTAGAAGTTACTTTTGAAGTTCTTGACGCTATTCTCAAGCTAGTTCAATGTATTGATTGTTCATCGGCAGTATCCATACGTACCGATCTAACAGAAGTAAGATATTGATTTGTTGATAGACTTCTCCAAACATCTTTGTAAAGATTGAAAAACAAGTATGTTTATCAACAACACAATTTGAAGATTTTGTTACTGATTTTCTCAATCGAATATTTCAAATGATTTCTCGACGATCAACTGAAACATATGATGCTGCAGTATCTAACAATGAGATCAGTCAAAACAATAGAATTATTGAAATTAAATTAATATCAATAATGTCTAACATAGTTCAGCAATGTAGTAGTAAAATCTTTCAAGTATGTATAAATTCAGATCAATTATAATAATCATAATTGTCTAAATACTTGATCATTTTTTCTTCAATTTAGATAATACGTGATAAAATAACCGAGTTTATATCTGGTTCTATATTTTCGTATAAAGTACAAAAACTTATTGCTAGTTTTGTTCGAGTTATGGTCAAAGCAAAACCTATCGAAATACTTGAATCATTCTTACCACAAACATGTGAACATATTGAAAATATAATAAATCATTCACAAATAGATCATAGAGGTGATATTGAATTAATTTGGTATTTAACTCTATTTTCGGAGCTTGTTCATGCTCGTAGTGGTACTTTACTTATCTATAAACAAATGATTATGTCTATATTTCATAAATGTATTCGTATTATTCATAAAGATTCATATGAAATTATTGCTAAAGCAGCTAAAAATTTATTACAATCACTTACTCAATTATATCCAATTCGTCATGGATTATCAAATAAAAATTCTAATGAATTATTTACTGAATTTTTACCTATTCGAGTAAGTTTTCAAAAATGATCAAGTTATTGACTTCTTTTTTTTTTGTTATTGTTAAGGCTTGGGGTCAACATATTGATTTTGATCAATTTCAAATACATTTTCATTTTCCTAATATAAATGAAATTAATTTTGCTTGTGAATTTGTTAATACATTTATTTATGATGAATTTCAATTATTAAATGAAAAATATTTACAACTATCGAATGATGAACGATTGAGATCGCTTAGAATAATTCAATACATAGCTATGGGATGTTTACATATGGTACCTAGCATTGAAAGTAATCTAATAACAGATCTGTAAATATAAATTAAGAATAAACATTAAATATATTGAATTATGGTTATTATAGTGTACCATCAGTTGTTCCTTATGGTTCAAAATATCAATTTCGATATCCAATCTATTCTAAAGAACCGAGTAAGATTCGAAGTAGTATTTGTAAGAAGATAAATTTTTCTTTAGAATTTAGAGATAATTTACGTATGCGTATTTTGATTGATATTGGAAATTTACTCGGTAAATATTCAATTGAAAATTGAATGTAAAAAAAAATTCTCTTTTTGGTTTTTTAGATATTCTTATAAAAAATCATTCGGATGATGTTGCATCAATAAAAACAGCAATTAATGTATATTTGAATTAATCTAATTGATTATCTTATTTTATATATTTAATTGCAGATCTATACACTGTCATCTACTTATTATGGTTCAACTCCAAATGATATACAAGCATTATGTATTATTATTAATTCAGATGAAAATTTATTCAAATCTAGACTTGGTGGTAAACGAGAAAATCCTCGATTTTTAATAGTCAAACAAATTATATTACATATCAAAGTAGAAAAAAGAAAAAACTAAAATTTATTTCTATAAATTATTATTGTTTATTGTTTTAGATATTTGAGTTATATTGCTTAGAAACTTTTACCGAAATCGATAAACAAATCGTATTAAAATTATTTGAATTATCAATTAATCGTTATAGTGAAGTATATTTATCTTTTTTTTTTTTCAAATGATAATACTCTTTAATTTTCTTATATTAGATTCGTTGTAATGCACAAATGAAATTGTTATCTATTTTTAATCAATTTAGTTTTTCATATCAAATTATTGTTGATTGTATCTATGAATTATTGAATAAACAAGATGAAGTTGATCATGATCAAATTAAAGTTTGTTATTTTTTTATTTTTCTATTCAGTAGATAATCTATATATATCTATAGGGTTGTCTTTATATTCTTCTTGGTGATGATTCTTTTTTCTTACCTATTCAACATTCATGGACAATGATGGAAAAATTATGGCCATCTATTATACGTTTAAGTCATACGAATAAATTCAGTATAACAAATATAATTAATGAGATTAGTAGTCAAATACTCGAAGAATTTCATACACTACCACTCATCGAAAATATTAACAAAATATCTATAGATTCAGCAGTAAGTTTATGGCATCAATTAAATCCAAATGAAATGAAAATAGATGAAGAATATCAAAGAAATAATATTCAATCTTATAATAATCTTATGGAAATATTAAATGCATTGATAAATGATGATAAATCGTTAGTTTTAGTTTTTAAATCTAATATATTGTAATTTATACTATATTCAGGACATGGAAACAACAAAAAATATCAATGTCATTCATGTGTCTTCTTCTTCAAAAACAAATATCAATTCCATTATCATGTATTCGAACATTTGTCAATTATCTTATTCATGATAATATGAAATTACGAAAGGTTAGTTAAGAAATTTTTTTTAGTACAATTTACTATTATATTTATTCAGTATGCTATAATGGGCATGATAGCATTATGTCGTTTGCAAAAACCACCTCGATTTTATATACAAAAAACACTTGATGAAATTCTTGGTTATGAAAATTCAAATATCATTGATGAAAAATGTTATCCTGGTGATCGTGATGATAATTTATGGGTGACAATCAGCAATTATAAAATACCAGATACACAAATTGAATGGGAAAAAATATGTTTTTTGGATAAATCTTTTCATGGTTATTATAAATGGCCAAAAATTATTGAATATTGTTTGAATAAACGTATACGTTACATTCAAGATACAATGCCAGAACAAGTAGCTATTTTATATGATCGTTTTATTGATAAGAAATTTATTGTACAATTGATACAATCCGTAATCTTAGAGGAAGACGATGGTGATATAAACTTTAGTAAAAATCGATTCTTAATGTATAAGGTATATATTATAGTAAACATGAATTATGAAGCATTAGTGTTTTCCTCAATTCAAAATATGTAATATGTGTAGAATGAGAATATATATTTTATTATCTAGGGCCTCTTTCGTAATTTTGGTAATATATTTATGAAAAATTTTATGGAACAACTCTATGTACTTATTCATGAGACGATAAGTGAAAAACAAGAAGGTTGTCATCGTACTGCAGCTGAAATTGTAGCTGGCGTAATTCGTGGTTCAAAACATTGGACATTAGAAATGGTAAATGAAAAATTTTGTCTATTGATTTGTCATAGATTTATTATAGCTTGATGAACTTTGGATGAAACTCATACCATTTCTTAATGAAGTATGGAAAAATTTTACTCATGAAAATCGTTATTATTGGGGTTTGTGCTTCAAATATGGTATGGTCAGTTAGTCTATGCTACTTTTTTAACGAAAAAATTTGTTTTTTTTTTCTAAGGAAAATCAAGATCCTCGTCGAATGTATCGATTAATTGATTATATTTGTTCATTGATTACGAATAATCATGTCATGGAAACTGCATTTGATGAAACATCTCGATGGTTTCTTGTTGAAGAATTAAAAACTTTTCAATGGCGTATTCCATCTATTTGGTGTATTATTAATAATTATGCTAAAGAATTACTTGATCATCCATTTAAAACAGTTCGAACGTATATTGCTGAGTGAGAAATTTCAAGTTGATTTCTTCAATTTAAGTAAAATTCGTGTTCGTTTTTAAATTAGTATATTATCAATATCAATTAGTTTTGATATTATATTACCAAATGGAAAATCAACACGACATCCTAAAATCAATCAATTTATTGATACTATATGTGAACAATTACATCAAGCCATTGAAGTTTATGAAAAAAAACCAATAGGTAATATATGATTTTTCTTTTATCTTAATTCAATTTGATGTCAATAACATTTCTCAGTTAATAATTCTGATCAAATTACTGGAATCGATCTTGAAACTCGTAAAGCATTAAATTTAATCGAAACAGGTATAGATATATAATATTTGATACGAAAAATAAGATACAATACTTTCATTTTACATTTGTTGGTTATTCATTCTAGTAATTCAAATACAAACATACTTATTTGATTGGTGTCAACAACCAGTTAAAAGTGCAACAATTCGTCTGTTTCCTCATGTAAGTGTATAGGATTAGAATTGTAGTATGCTGTTATATATAACATAATATCGAGAATGATTTTATTTGTTTCTTTGAAGCTTTGTGCAATTGAAAGATTTGTAGCAAATAATGATTTCTTCGAAGATACATTGACAACGAGTCTAACACATATTGCTATGAGCTATTTAGATACAAACTTGTTAAAAGCGTTTATTGAGCAATTAGAACTAGTATGTTATACGAAGATAGATTTTTATAAAAAGTTTTCTTCGCATGTTCTTATCACATAGATTTGTACGAGTTCTAAATGGCATGTGCGTCTAGCAGCCATTGAATTCGTTCAAAATTTAATATTTTGCAATCTATTCAATTCTCGTCCATATGCCAAACGATTAAATAAACTTTTGCTCAAATGTCTATTCGATGAACAATTGGAAGTACGAACAATTGCATCAATGACTTTATCAGGTTTCTATCAGTGTGGTTATATTGAATTAACTGTTAAAGATCTCGTAAGATGAATAATTTCCTCATTTTGAACTATTGTTTATTTTTCAATATGTATCTTGTTTCAGAACTATTTTGATGTTATGAGCAAGACCAATTATTTTACAAAAACTAATGACAAGAAAGTAATATCAGGAGAAAATATTATTAAACGCCATGGTGGTTAGTATCTTTTATTGATGAAATCAAATCTATTTTTCACAAGTTCTAGATACACCTTATTCTTAATTATGATTATAGGTATTTTGGGTCTCTGTGCAATCGTTCTTTCGAGTTCATATGATATTTCAATGTATGTACCAGAGGCATTGGTACTTCTTTGTGAACATTTACACGATCCTGATCTCATACAAGTATATAATATTAAATTTATTATTATGTTAGCATACATAAGATATATTTGATTTTTAGACATCAATAAAGAAATGTTTGTCTGAATTTAATCGTACGCATCATAATTTATTGCATGAACATCGAGAAAAGTTCACTGAAGATCAACTTGCGATTTTGACTGATGCATTCATTTCCCGTAGTTACTACGCTTGATGATAAAATAACATTTTTATAGACTCATAAATATTTTATATTGTTTTTTTTACGAGATCCACGGATTTCGATCGCATGAGTGTAACTAAGCATAGTCGATGGATTCATAATCAAAATCAAACAAGCGAAGACGATAACGATTGACTATTTTTACTTAGACTCTCAAAGCGTACACTTACACATTCAAATTGAATCGAAAAACATGAAAAAAATATCTCCAAACGGAGTTTTATTTTCTGAATGAATCTAATAAATAATTCGGTTAGATAATTTTCAAACACTAATGAACTCGCCTGAAAAAAAGGCCTTTTAAATAGTTTTTAGGTAATAGCTGAATTTCGCCATTTGTTATCAGGTAGGCTGATAATAATTAGCGGTAGAGTGTGGGTGTGGATATGAGTAAACGAACAAAAACCGACACCCACACCCACACTCCAGAATTGCAATAAAACGATGTGATATTTTTATTAAGTTCAATAATGATTAGTCGAGAAATTTTCTTTGTTTCACATCATTTATGTGAATAAACAAGAATAATACATGCATCGCGCATAACTGGACACTGAATATCGACGCAATAGACTGAAACACTGCATCTCGTAATATTTTGTGGCGATCAGAGTTAGTGAAGACTTTTAACTTCTGTTTTGAGTTGTTCAAGTCTCGATAGTGAGGATGGGTGAATAGTATTATAAGAAAATTACGTTCAACAAATATTAAATTTGCAATTACGAATATAGATTGGGTAACATCTGACAATAGCAAACATTTTAGTAACTGTACTGCGCTCAAATAAAAATATCGGAAAAGGCTTATTCTTGGATATAATGATCAAGTAACACCCTATTTTTGGTCGAAAGTACTACTGTATGTGTCGAACGTGCTGGTTAGCAGTCAATTGGCGGCTGTGAGTTTCGATGAAAAGAAGATTCATATTCAAACTACTCACACACCTGAGAATAAGACATGATGATAGTTTTTGTAGAAGGAAGAAGAGCAATTGATTAAATCTTAAGATTCAATAATACAATATTTGTCAAATTGTGGCTAGTTAATTAAAATAAAGTCGAGAGCATGAAAGAAAACTATTCATGTGAATATCAAAACAAGTTTATATTAAGTCTCAGCATGGTCATACGTCAAGAAAATTCCTCAGTGTCTCGTAGACGTCAGGTTGTTTCTTCCAAAGCTCTCATGTTAGCTGGGGTGTGGGTGTTGATATAGATATTTCGAACATTCACACCCACACCCACACCCTAATAGATGATACCAACAGCGATAAGAAGTTTGAAAAGTCATCAATTTATAACCATGAAAAAGAAACAGGTCATCGTATGAACTGGAATAATTTTCAAATAGTATGACAAGACAATCACTATTATCGTCTGTTGATTAAAGAATCACTACTGATTAAGGCTTATGAACCTGAACTTAACAGAACAACACACTCGGTACCATTACTTGTTTTTCCTGATCAGTGGCGTAGCGAAGGGAGGGGCAAATGGGCAATTGCCCATTTCATTTGGAGATTTGCCCATTGTAATTTTTGTTAATAAGCTTTTGCCCATTGAAATTTTATTTTTTTAGAATTGTTTATTTCTTTTTGGAGTAAATACTGTTTGTATTTTTTTTTTCTTCGGTCTCAATCACATATGCACTCTATGCTTCTTCTTTCCGTAAAGAATTAAGAAAAGACGAAGAAAAGAATCATTTCTTGTATTTTAACCGTAAGTATGGGTAAACGTAAGTTCAATTTTCTGGAGAAAAAACTAATCATATAAAGGTAGAAAAGAATAGATAAAAGAGAAGAGAAACAGAACGTATATAAGCATATAGGTTTGGCCAATCGGCTTGATATCCTAAGATTTATTTGCTCATGTAGCTGGTATCAGTTATCAGAAAAAAGTGAACTTTTTTACCAGTTATAGTATACAGATAATGCTAATGAATGGTTATTGTTTGAGCTGTATATTCTAATAAAAAAGCGAATTATCGATTGTTTTTTTATATCCTGTTTGTTAGAAGAACTCTGTATCAGATTTTTTACACATACATCGATTTCTATTAAAGTATTTCAAACAATATGAGATATCAATAACAAAGTTTTATTACTATGTAGTTAATTTGCAACTATATCCAATGTAAAATGTTGTATGCTGATAAGTGAAATATTCAGCCAATTGTAGAGTAGATAGAATATAAGCATCTTTGCAATTTTAACAAAGCTGGTAAAAAACCATTAATAGCTTCTTTATAAACAAGGCTCAAATAATAAAGAATTGAGAAATATAGAACATCTTACGTCGGGTATAGTTGTAAATAAACTACATAGTAATAAAACTTTGTTATTGATACCTCATGTTGTTTGAAACAATTTAGTAGGAATCGATATATACCCTTGGACAAAAGTCTTCTCTTTATTTTTATCCTATCATACTTTGCATGAAATTTATTGCCAAATAAAGATATAACATGAGAGTTTTATTGCAGTGTGATCTATACACAATACTGCAATACAACTCTCATGTTATATCTTGGCAATAAATTTCATGCAAAGTATGATAGCATAAAAACACAGAGGAGGAAAGACATTTGTCCGGAGGCGTATCATATGGCCATAAGGGGACTCATGATCTCAATCACGCTTGATAGAAGTAAGAGATCATTTCAAAATAGCCCATATGACTCAATTTTGCGAGCTGAACATGAATCTGAAGTCAGTTTTCAGGATTTCTAGATAAATTTGTAGGAGGTATTCCCTATGATCAGTAGATAGGGTAACCCACAGTATGGTCCATACTAACTTGGTCCGCATCCGGCCTTTTGTTCTTGACAGTTTAGTGTCAAAAGACGTAGCTTGATGAAATCTTTATCTGGTGAAAAAAGAACTCTAGGATCTTGTACATCACGGGAGAAAACTCTAAAATACAGACCGCCCGGAACAAGCCATTTCTCGCGTTTTGAACAAGTTTCGACTGATAGTGTTTTTATCAGCTTATATGTCTAGGACTTGAATCGGATAAAGTTGTAGCCTAAACTGTTCTCTATAAAATGAGACGTTTCTGAGTTCAAACAGTCGATCCGTTCGTGAGATAATGTCAAAATACTGAGCATACCCTCAGAACAGCAGTTTTTGAGATCAACAATGATTATTTTAAACTTGTTTCAGCTCGCATTTTTCATAGATAAAGCGAAACGACTTAATATTTTGGATTTGGTTATGGTTTGCCTAGGCCTTTCATTTGAGATAAAAATATCGAAATATTCTTTTCTCCGGCGACCTTCGCATTGAGTAGTGTCTTCTCTCGCGGACTCTCTCTTAAAAATATCCAAAACACATCCGACTTAGCATTGAGCTTCGAGTTTGATGCATATCTGGTTAAAAGAACCTCATTTTTTTGTGGTTTTTTTACGTTATTAGTACTTTTTGGGCGAAGAAAATTTCTGGCCTATCAATAAAAGCATCGCCCATTTTGCCCATCATTTTTTGCGACACTAGAGAAGTTTGCCCATTGGTCTAAAAATCATGGATACGCCACTGCTCCTGATGGTTTACCAAAAGTTCAGTTACCTAATCTTGATCATTAATGATAATTTAAAATCATTTAATAATGTCGTTGTTGTCTCTTTTTCTGTTATATCTTTCTTTTTCTTTTTCTTCTTTTTTTTGTACAACTTTCTTAACACCTTAATAAATCTTGACAATGATGACATAGATCATCGAAACGTCGAACTATTGTCTTTCTTTCTTTCGTTACGAAAAGAAAAAATATTTTCAAAAAATGTTATACAAAACAGCTGTTATTTTATCATTTATTATGAATCTTGATTGGACACTATTGATATTGGAGAAATAGAAGAGTTATACACATAGCCGAACCACACCCATACTTAACACCAATATCAGCTTGTAGTTCTGCTCAAAATATACAAATTTTCAAGATCATATTTTATCTGATGTTACTCTTATAGTAAAAAGATTTTCTTTCCATTCATCAATTGAAGAGGAAAGAGAACGATTAGAACATGTATTCTGTTTATTTTTTCATTATGAAATAGTAACAAATGATATAACAAAAATAACAACTAAAAATGATCTTGACATGAACATGTTCCATCAGGAGAGCAGTGATGTATACAATTTGCATCACGTACTATTATTTTACATTGCCAAATTTTTGCAATTAGTTTAGTCGTTCGATCTAAAACAATAAATACATAAGTTACTAATAAAGATAGGAAAAAAAACAAAACAAGAAGAACTTACGACAATCGCCACAAACACGAAGATTCTTTGTGATCTGAATAAATGATGGATTTTCTTGCTGTAAGAAATGATAAGCGATTGCAAGTCGTTCACTATGACTACATAATACTGATGCTATTGTTTCATCTTCACGTAAGGGACGAGTTATCCAACTGGCATCATATTTATGACCATGTTTCATCAACACATCGGATATATATTTTGCTTTAGCATGGATTTCTTCAGATCGAGGATGACTACGATCATTAGCAGTGAACTCCTGTAAAACAAGAAAAAATGAAAAAATTTCTTTTTTATTCAAATTCGACAACATTAATTAGAAAAATATTCTTACGAATATTTCGCCATTGAATTCTTTCCATGATACTCCAGGTTTAATTTTAGTTCCTAGTTCTTTGATTCGATTTGATCGAACATTTTCTGCTTGTTCACTATCACCTATAGATAAATATGTATTACCAAGAAGAATTGAACCAGACTTGAGTGTCTCTTTCTCATTAGGAAATAATATTTCCATTCTATCATAGATTTTTTGTGATAAAATATGTTGACGAGAATTACGTGCTCCAGATAATATTGCCACTAAAATAAAAGATAAATTACTATATAAAAAAATAATGCAATTTTCTGAACACTTACTATACATAACTGGAGAAGGTGAATTAGATTTTTCATAATCATCAATGAGATTTTGTGCTTCATCAAATATAAAAAGACGACTTAAACAATCAATCTAAATTACAAGATAATAATATCCATATTTGACAAAATAAGTAAATAATTAAATAAACAAACCATCGTAGCAATAATTTATGCACTTTTCTGAGAAATTTCATTGAAGATAGAGCGAGCTTCATCAAGAAGACCCGAATGAGAACATGCATTTAATACACATACATGTGTTCCTTCATTATGTAAATAATCAGGCATTTTTCGATATAAATCAATAGCTTCTAAACCCATTCGATTAAGTCCATAAACATAAACTTGAAAAACAAAAGAAATCAATAGAAATACAATGATTATAAAACAAACTATTTTTACTCATTGAATTATATGTAATAACATCAGGATTATCGATAGATAGAAAAATCTTCTGAGCATTTTCAATAGAACCAGCTTTTCCCTATGACCAAACAAAATGAGTGAATGAAATCAATTGTTGCAAAAAATTAGTACAATGATTACATACCCACATATAAATTAATGAATTAAGTATACGTTGATTTTTCCATAAATGTGAAGGAATTTGATCAACAATTGATTGACATTTTGAAAGCATACTAAGTCTTGCACATGCATTTATCAATATACTTAATACAAATTCATCCAGTATAAAATTTTGTTGTTTGATTTCTTCTAATAGTTGTAAGCATTTTAATGGTTTATTATTTATATTATATCCATTCATAATGACTGTATATGTCACAAGATTTTTGTTCCTGATCGTTCGAAATAGCTTCTCGCCACTTTCAATATCACCAAATGTCATTAGCATATCTATTGTCGAAGTGAGTAAAACATGATCATCGTAAAAGTGTTGAGGCATTTGATCAAGAAGCTTTCTTCCGATTTTTTTGGCACGATCATTCAAAAGTTGTGCACAAGCATTGAAAACAATTATATAAATTACATTATTGGGATACAATGACATTTTCTCAAATAAATCTAATGCTTTATCACACATTTTATTTTCCACATATCCTAAATATCGTTTAATGAATATTTAATAAATATTTATTACGAATTTATCTTTCATCATGGCACCATATGTAATGATATCTTTATTTTCGATCATTTTGAAGAGATTTTCTGCATTTTCAATATCACCAAATTTCATTAACATATTTAATGCTGAAGTGAGTAAAATATTGTTTTTATGAAAATGTTGAGGCATTTGTTGAAGAAGTTTTCTTCCAATATCTTTGGTACGAGCATTAGCGACTTGCGCACAAGCAGTAAATAGAATAGTTTGAATAATATGATCAGGTTGAATATTCATTTGAAGAAATAAATCGAGCACTTTTTCTGGCATTTTATTTGAAACAAGACCTAAAACTAAGTTCACATTTGAAACATGAACATAAGAAATATAGAAGTTTACTTACCTTTAAACATAGTTACATACATATAATCTGATTTGTTTGTTATGGTTGAAAACAGACGATAAGCATTTTTCATATCATGATTTTTTACTAGGAAGAAAAATAAAGTGACATGATAAATTTTTTTCCGACGTATCGTTCGTTAAAGTTTTTGAAAATAATATTTTCAATGATTAGATGCGTCAAAAAGACCTGTTTTTCTAACGTTTGTCTTGAGTATTTCGATGATTTGTGTTAAATAGAAATCGTTTTCAATGAATAAGAATGAGTTTCTATAGAATATATGACAAATTTTTCTCTGTAGACAATAAACTTCGATCATTTCCTGTTGACAGAGCAATAATTGATGAGATCAATATGAAATTTTGTAAACCTATTACATATGACTTCTAATTGTAGCATTAATATAGTAACTAAGTACTTGTTCACATTTTAATATATATGTATATGATGATCATGATCAAATGAAAAAGATAATCAGTTTTTCGAATTCACTTTCATAATGGAAGTAGAAGGGTACCTTTAGTTGAAGATATTCTTTAGAATATTTGGTTCTTCACGAGACTGCATCAACCAATAGAGGAATTTAACAATGTGTCTGATAGGGAAGAGTTTTGTATTGATTATCAGCAATGTTGATCATGATTAGTAACGATCAATGTATAACATGATGTTTTTTTTATGAGAGGTTGTTTTATTATTCTCATGATTGAAATAGTCTATCGAAAATGAAGAAGAAACTCTGAGAGAAATGTTCCATTCGAGTTATTCTTTTAGTGAACATATGAATATATGTTTTGAAATATGTTTCTTCATCTTTCGTGATGATCATGATTGTAATCTAGCTCTTCAGTAACTTGTAAATAAAAGAATGTTTGTAAACATTCTTGTTTTAGATACCTGGTCTTTTGAAATCTTCGGCGTTGTTTTATTACTTGCTAAAAAGTAGAGATAAGCTTTCTTTTGTACAAATTGAGATTGAAGTTGATACTTTTCATGACTGGTTTTTATTTATCTGGCTATTTGTATTATTTCTTAGAGACAAATACGAGTTGAATAAATCTAGTCAAACATCAAATTTTAGAAAAGCAAGAAAAAATTGATGTTGATAATGAGAACATTTGTCAATGAAGAGATACAGCAATATATATTTATCAGATTTTGAATTTATATTAGCTGTTAGAGTAAATAATTAAAGAGAACTAACTAACAAAAATGACATTGATCGATTGACTAATCAAACAAAAAATATTCAAGAATTATTTCAAATATAATATTAATAAAATCGTAAATATTAGTTTTCTTTAATTCGATTTGAAAAATTCAATAGATAATTACTTTTTACTTTGCTCGAAAGAAAACATGTCGTAAAGTAATATAGTGCATATGTCGAACCGTAGAAATACTAAGATTGGAAATAGATGTATATGAAAATCTCTTTCATATGCAGATTGTTTTCTATATATTTCTATTTACTCTTTGTGTTTTATGATTTCTTTTTAGAGGCTTTTTACTTTGAATTGCACTCACGTCAGACTTACTGATTCAACAATGAAAAGAGTCAAATTATTGAGATAAGTGAAAAAAAAGGTGACCGATAGCAGAACTAGAATAGATCTACTAGAATTACATCTAGATCCTAGAGAAAAACAAGTTACTGACATTGATTCGTGACTAAGAATGAAAAGACTTTCATCTCTACACAGGTTTTCTAATTAAACAACATCTATGTTTACTATGAAAATATTTCATAAAAGAAGAAAAAAGAAAAAAAAATCATTGAGAAGTACAAATATTGATCGAATCTTTTGAAAACTTAATTAACTTGTTAATCCAAGTGATTTGAATATATTCTTATTTTATTAAGTGAGAATCTCGGTAAAAAAAATCAATCAATACTCATTATAGAATTGTAACAGTGCTGTTTGAATATAAGAATTGCTTAGTGATTTTAATGAAAGTTTTTGTTCGATATTAATGATACGTTGATGTTCATTTAAATAATTGCATGCTTTTATTACCATATGAATAACATCATCTGTACAATAATCCAATTGTTTATCGAATAGAGCTAAGACTTGTTTATATTTTTTATCATCCATTAATTTTTTCACTGCTGAATAGATATTTTTCGACGATATTGACGATGAGAATGGTGATGAGATAAATTGTATTGTACATCTTTTTTGATAAAAAGATAAAATACAACGAAACATTAATGAATTATTTATCATTCATAGATTATATAGTGTGAAACAAAATTCATCTGAAATTAAGAAGAATGAAAAACTGATTTTTATATTTCTTCAATTGAAATTATATTCATTTAATATATGACACTTTTCAAGAAGATTTTTAATATGACTCTAAAATAAAATATATTCGTACACTATGTTTTTTATTTTGCTTTGTAAGTTTGCTAAAATACAATTGGTTGAAATAGGTTTCATACACTTTGATTTCATTTGATCATGTAAGTTACTTCATTCCTCTTTCTGACGCCCTACCGATTAGACGTATATATTACTTCTTTTCTTCTCTCGTTTGCACTAAAAGGTCAATCAAGTGCAAATCAAGAAAATATTAAACATAATTAATTTTATTTAATTAGAATAAAAATCTCTTTCCATTATATCGATTACATAACAAGTACATTTATTTGGTCACGTGTTGTCACACGTGTAGATTTTGTACTTAAATTTGATTGATTTTGATCAATATGGACGATCAAAAATTAATTAAAAATGTTGAACTGATTGGACATTATGAAGATTCGACTATTGAATGTTATAATGAACTTGAACAGTCAACACAAACAAAAAATAAAAATTCTTCTAAACTATTACCAACAACTAACAAACAACCATCGCCTACTGTTGTAACTTCTCATCAACAAACGATGAAACAAGGTTATGAGCTTCCTCCATTAATTTTAGAAGGTGTTAGTCTTTCTCGTGTTGCATTAAACAATTTTTTAGTAAAGAAAATTCCTGAATTAAAATGTAACAACATTATGTATAATGATAAAAGAAAAAATTTTACAATTTATCCTTCAACTATAGCTTCATATAATGCATTACTTACTCGATTATCGTTGAATGAATTATCTGATACTGCAAAAATTTTTATTCCTCGATCAATACAACGAATTCAAAAAACTGATAAAGAAGCATTTGTTAAAAGTGTGGATAAAGAAATATCGATTCAAGAAATTCAAAATGCTTTAACATATAATGGTTATCAGGTGAATCAAGTAGAGAGATTAATGAACAAAGAAAAAACCGGTACAGGAACAACTATTAAAATTACTTTTGATGATGTTAAGAATCGAGATGCATTTATCAAATTAGGTTTACAAATTGATCATATGCATTTTCCTGCAGAAAAAGCAAAACAAAAAATTAATCCACAACAATGTCATTCATGTTATCGATTCGGACATATAGCTAAATATTGTAAACAACAACAACTAATATGTTCTTATTGTGCTGGTCCTCATCGATATAACGTTTGTGATCAAAAACAATTACCACCTAAATGTTCCAATTGTCAAGGTTCACATGAAGCAACTTCTCATGATTGTCCAAAGTACATAAATGAACAAAAACGTATACAAACAGCAATTGATCGGTATTCATATTCTTCCACTAGTATACATCATTCAACACCAGTACCTGATAGTCATGATATTAAAAATTATCCGCTACTTTCATCAACAAACTCGATTATTACTTCTCAAACACTCAACAGTATTACTGAAGCATGTACGATGGCAACAATGAAGGCAATTGAGAATATTTCTAATAAATTAATTACAATATTCACCAAGAAGATGAATGAATTAATTTATCAATTTTCATCTAAATATCAATTACCAATCGATGTAACTATGGATTGTATATCTTGTGAAACTAATCCTGATTCTGATACTGAAGAGAAGGAAAAAGATCCTGATTATTCATTAGAAATTTCAACTGATCAAAATCAGCTTGCAGCTGTAAATGATGAAATGGTTGACATAAATGAACTTACACATGCCAACACAACACATAAAAACCAACAATCTACAACAATGAACAATAATGGAGTGAAACGTACTTCCAACATTGATTCGCCTACTACTTACAAACCAAAACGAACAAATAATACTAATCAAAGTACTACAATCAAAATCACCAAATCCAAAACCAAATCTTTAGTAATATAATGCGTTTCTGTCACGTTAATGCAAATTCAGCAAAAAAATACAAAGATGAAATTTTTAATCGTTTTGGTAAAATGGATATTATTTCAATTAATGAGACAAATTTACATGAAAAAACTCAATTTCAACTACCTGGATTTAATGTTTTTCGTTTCGATCGTTCTGTCAAAAAAGGTGGTGGTGTTCTTCTTGCAATAAGAAAGGAAATGCAATGTTATGAAATATTATCTCAAAATATTGATGATAATGAATGTGTTGCTGTACAAATAAGTACAAAAAGTGGTCCACTTTTAATCTGCTCACTTTATATACCACCTCGAATAAAGATATCTTCACGACTATTCGATCAACTTCTAAATATTAATGCAAATTGTTTAATTATGGGAGATCTCAATGCAGCATCAACTATATTAGGATCACGTAAAACCAATAATAAAGGAATCCAATTACAAGAACTATTGAACAATACCGGTTTCTCCTGTATAGATGATAATATAACCACATATGAAAGAAATCAATACGAAGAAAAATTAGATTGGATCTTAGCAACTCGACCAATTATCTTCTGTATTAATAATGTTAATACCCATATGCCTCTGGGTACTGTTAGTGGTCATAAACCTTTAACTTTTAATTTAATGACAATGCCTGATGATAAACCACCGTCGCCACGAATTCAATTTTCATTTAACTTAGCAAATTGGTCTCTTTATCGACATGTTTTAAATGAAAAGTTAATGCAATGGGATATGAATCACAAGTTAGTTTCTGCAAATGATATCGACGAATATGCAAATTTTATTAGTGAAAGTATTGTGGCAGCAGCTCGCTCAGCTATTCCTCAAAGTTCTGGTAAAATCAAAATTGAAATAAGTCCAGTCACCAAACATCTTATCAATCTAAAACATCAATTCTATCGTAGTTGGAAGCAACATGGTATTGGAAAAAGTCAATATTACCGAACAAGAGAACAACTTACATTATCGTTACGAAATGATCGAATTGCCAGACTGAAAAAAATATGCCACACTCTTACAACAAAACAAATGAATACAGGTAAAGTATGGGCACTCATTCGGAAATATCATAACAAGAGAACCAAACAAAAGATTACATCTGTTTTAAAATATCAACAAATGAAAGCAAATAGTGATCTTGAAAAGGTAAATATGTTTGCTACATACTTTGAAAATGATGTTTATCCAAGTACACCTGATACATCTGCCTTTCACGTCCATATAAGTGAGGTGGTCAAGAAAATTAAGAAATCAATCAACAACTCATCGATCAATAGTCCATCAATCAATAGTCAGGATTTTCAAGTTATAACACCAAAAGAACTTAAATCCATACTGAAACAGTTACCAAATTCGGCACCAGGACCAGATAATGTACATAATCGATGTTTAAAGAATTTTACCAAATCACTCATCGATCATTTACTCAATTTAATGAATACAAGTTTAAGTTTTGGTTATATTCCTAGTTCTTGGAAAAATGCATTTATTATTTTATTACTTAAACCAGGAAAAGATCGAACTCAAGTATCAAGTTATCGACCTATAAGTTTACTCAGTTGTGTGGGGAAAGTACTCGAAAAGATCATCAAACAAAGACTTTCAACGGAACTCAAACAGCGCAACATCTTACCCCGTCATCAAGCTGGTTTTTTAGAAGGAAAATCTACTATGTACAATATTTTAAGATTAAATCGTTGTGCTCGACAAGCGCTTGATCGAAATCATCATGCTGGTGTAATCTTCTTTGATATAAAATCCGCATTTGATAGTGTGTGGCATGATGGTCTCATTTACAAGATGAATGATTTTCGTTTACCAGTTTATCTTATTCGTTGGACAATATCATTCTTATACAGAAGAACGGCACAAATAGAACTTGAAAATCAACTTTCTCATTCATTTGAAATTAAAAGTGGAACACCTCAAGGGAGTCCATTGTCTCCTCTCCTTTACATTTTATTTACATCAGATTCAATGAATTCTATTCCATTTAAAGTTGAATACGGACTTTTTGCAGATGATACTGCAATCTTTACTTCAAGTAATACAACATCTAGAGTTCGTGATCGTTTACAAGAATCAATTAATCAATTTATTAAATGGTGCGACTCATGGAAACTCGTTATTCAACCAACGAAAACTGAACTTATACACTTTTCACCTCATCCTCGTAAAAAATATCCAAATCCTATTCATCTCAGAGTATCAAATATTGGTCTACGACCACAACCATCTGCACGTTATCTAGGAATTATTTTTGATAAACAACTACATTGGAAAGAACATGTGAAAAATATTGAAGCACGCACTCAATCTCGCATAAACTTACTTCGATACTTAAATAAGATTACTCCTGATTCAAATGAAAAGATCATGCTCAATATATACAAGTCTCTCATTCGACCAATTCTGACCTATGGTTCTTCGATTCTTTTACGTGCTGAAGATAAGATTTGGAACAGACTACAAATTGTTCAAAATAAATCACTTCGAGCAGCGCTTAATCTACCTCATTTTACTTCAGCTACATACATACATCAAATAACCAATATACCATATATTCGTTCATATGCTACAGTTCTTACTGAAAGAGCACTCACAAGAAGCCAACAAATGGAAGATACAGTAACTGAACAAAACATAATCTCTCTACTCAATTGAACACAATGAGATAAATACCACATTGAATTGTTTTCTTTTTGTTTCTTTTATTACTATTATTATCATTTTTGTTTTTTTCACTATTGTTAAAAGCAAAAGACCTAGTGTCAAGAGCTTTTCTTCTTCAAGGTTCTTTTAAAAAAAAAATAAATAAACCTGTTGTCACCTCATGTAAGTTACTTAATTACCCTCGCTAATATCTAACATTCGAAAGAGGGCGTTCAACATCAGTACATTTTTATGTTTGTATTATCTATAATACCTTCTTCATTGAACAAATGAAAAGGAAGACTTACATTGCATAGTAATCTGTATCTGATACTACAGTGAAATGCAATATTAATCGTAAATCTACAAACTTAGCACAGAAAATGATTATCCACAATATTATCGGCTTATAATAACGTTAGAATGAAGTAATTAGTTTGGCATAAATCTTACTCTTGACTCAAACTGGATTCTCATCAACAGTAGCCAAAGTCGTTTTTCGTTCGTTTAAAGTAATACTTTTGGATATGTGTGTTTTAGATAAAAAGCATTTGCTGGTGGCTAATTGCTGAGAACAACTAGATCAACAACATTCTATTGATACTGATAAATTGTTAGATTATAAATGAATTAGATAATATAATCAAGGTATATTAAAATAGTAGTAGTCGCAGTATCTGTATATATATGTACAGATAGATCACACAGTGTCAAATAATTTTATAACATTTTATCATTCTTCATTTACTATAACAATATTAGAATTTTAATTAGAGCTGTTCAACTTTAATTTTGTTGCTGTACTTATATGTATATTACACCGCATTTTATTATCATTAAGTAGATTTCACCACTTAGAACAATTTAACGGTAATAATATGAATGACTTAATGATATAATCCTCCCTAGTGAAGGTATTCATCAAGAGAGTACTCAAAAAGTACTCACGCTAGAAAATGCCGCGAGTACTCATCAGTAGTACTGGTGCTAGAATCTGAGTATCTGAGTACAACCATCGAGTACTCATGCTTAAAATTTGAGTATCCGAGTACGACTATCGAGTACTTGCCGCGTAATTTTGATCATTTTCTGAGTACTCAAATATCGTTTTAGTGTACTTTAGTAATTTATTTAAAATACTGATAGATTTATATGCTGTTCAGTACAGTTGTACTCCATTTATTCTATTTAAATATATAATTAATAATAAAAAATACAGTCATACATTATGAAACTTTGAGAAAAACATGAAAGTTGAGAACTAAATATGCTACATGACGCCAACTTTTTTGTTAGACAGAGTATAGAAATGAATTTTTATCTTTGGAACATAGAAAAGGAGTACATAAAAAAAGTATTGAGAACAATACAACATCAGTAAAGAGGAAGGATAATAAATTATTGATGAAATTAAGATATACAATAACAACAAACGTATATTATACATCATTGCGAAAAAAAAAACTCACATTTTACACTCATAACTACAGAGTGTGCCAGAAATAACTTACTCAAAAGAAAATCGCCCAGGTCGAACTCACCATGCTGGATCCTATCATATCCGTGATCATCCGACACTTTTCGACAGTCGGAAACCTTCATTATCCGTTAATTTCCGACGTCGGACATCGTCGGATTCTGTCGGATTCCGGCGAGAGGATCCGATGAAATTCGATAGTCAGAAATTGTCGGATCCGATGAAAATCGACGACATGAAAGCATCTAATTTTGCCCATTCAATTCTTTTTTTTTAGATTGTTTCCAATGATAAATCAAACAGTAAGTACTAATTTATTTAAATAAATTTTATTTTTTATTTTAGATTGTTTGCAATAATAAATCAGAGAGTAAGTATTTATTTATTTAAATTATTTTTATTTTTTATTTTAGATTGTTTACAACGATAAATCGATAAATCAAACAGTAAGTATTTATTTATTTAAATAATTTATATTTTTTATTTTTAGATTATTTACAACGATAAATTAAAAAAAGTTAGTATTTATTTATTAAAATAAATTTTATTTTTTATTTTAGAATATTTACAACGATAAATCAAACAGTAGGTATTAAGTTATTTAAATAATTTATATTTTTTATTTTAGATTATTTACAATGATAAATCAAAAAAAGTAAGTATTTATTTATTAAAACAGTTTTGATTTTTTATTTTAGATTGTTTCCAAGGATACATCGAAAAGTAGGTATTAATGTGGGTGTGGGTGTGTGGGGTGTAGGTGTGGGTGTGGGTGTGGGTGTGGGGTGTGTGTGGGTGTGGGTAGGGCGTGGGTGTGGGTGTGGGTGTGGGTGTGGAGTGTGAGTGTGGATGTGGGGTGTGGGTGTGGAGTGTGGGTATTAATGAAACGAAATTTCAACCCCACACCCACACCCACCCACCCTTACACCCGCAGATACCGCCGTCTGTAAAAAGAAAAAGACGAAAGAACCTGGCTGCTTATGTGGACCCTTTAGCGCGGGCCCCAACGGGCGAGAAGCCTATGGGAAGTATTATTATATTATATTATTATATTTATATACAATGATTTTCTTCTATGAAATCATTCAACACTCCGGAGTGCACTAATTATTTATTACAATGCATTTGTTATTACTATTTATATTTTATAAATGTTATTTCAAATGTTAATAAGGCATGTTGCTTATACTGTTTTTTTCAATAAGAAGAATCGAGGGATAGTAGTGAGATAAATCAAAATTAATTCTTTTCTTTTTTTATAATTGAAAAGTTCTAGTGACCAATAGAGCTTTTCAATTACAAAAAAGAATGTTTTTTTTTCTTTCGTGAGGGGGTATCTTTTTTTTTCTATCACAGCCTGTCAGGTGGCTTCGTAACCTGACCCAGGAAGATCTCTTTATGTCTGTGATGGCGAAAGCAGTGTTGTACTCTGAAAGGCCTTCTGTGCGTAGGTCCCTGTTGCCGTTTACGTACGACATATCTACGCGCATGCCCAACCAGTCCGGCGTGGTCCGCTCGGCGTGTACCCATGGCAGGCGTACAGGGGTCTTTCTGGTCGCGTGCGCGTGTACGCGAAAAGGAGCCGAGAAAGAAAGTGAATAGCAAATCAATTTATTGAGCAAAGAAGAAAAATAAAGAACAATTACATTTTCTTTCGAATTTTTTCAAATGTTTCTTTATATTTCAAAAGACGTGGATGAGTTGAAGGCAATTTTTCTTGTGCAATTTCTATCGCTTGTTGAACATTTTTCATTGCAATACTATATTTTCGAGTAGATAAATATAATTTTGCTAAATTGTGATATACAATAGCTAAATCAGGATGATCTTTTGGTAATTTCTTCCCACGTATTTCTAATCCTTTTTGAAAATATGTCAATGCTGTTGAATAATCTTTTATTTCTCGATATGTTTCACCTAAATTTATATATGTTAATGCACAATCCAAAGGATTACATTGCACATTTTCTTGAATATTTAATGCTTTTCCATGAAATGAAAGTGCCTTTTCATAATCACTCATTAATCGATGAACATCACCAATATTACTATATGCAATAGCTATATGTGGATGATTTTCAGGTAAAGCCTTTTTCCATATTGAGAGACACTTTTCGAAATTCTCAAGTGCTTTTGGATAATCTTTCATGCTGCGATAAATCTTTCCAAACTAGTTGTATGGAAAAGCCAAAGCAGGATGCTTCGCAGGCAATACTTGTTTTTTGATTTTCAAGTTATTTTTAGAATATTCAAGGGCTTTCGAGTAGTCACCCATGTGGTAATACGCTGAACCAATGTTGTTGTAGGAAAGAGCCAAATCGGGATGATTCGGAGGCAGAGATTTTTCTTTTATTTTATGTGCTTTTTCGTAAAATTCAAGGGCTTTCGAGTAGTCACCCATGTTGTTATACACTGCACCAATGCTGTTGTAGGAAGCAGCCAAATCCGGATGATTCGGAGGCAGAGCTTTTTCGTAGATTTTATGTGCTTTTTCGTAATATTCAAGGGCTTTCGAATAGTCACCCATGTCGTGATACACTGAACCAACGTTGTTGTAGGAAGCAGCCAAATCGGGATGATTCGAAGGAAGAGCTTTTTCTCTTATTTGAAGTGCTTTTTTGTAAAATTCAAGTGCTTTCGAGTAGTCACCCATGTTGTTATACACTAGACCAATGTTGTTGTAGGAATCAGCTAATTCGAGATGATTCGGAGGCAGAGATTTTTCGTTAAATTCAAGTGCTTTCGAGTAGTCACCCATGTCGTTATACGCGAGAGCGATGTTGTTGTAGGTATTAGCCAATGAAGGATGATCTTCTGGTAGAGTTTTTCGTTTGATTTCGAGGGATTTTTCGTAAAATATAATCGCTTTTTCATATTGGCCTTGTCGTTCTTTCACTCTACCTAACTCGTAATAGATATATGCTTTATTGCTGTCCTCGGAGTTCTGTTCTAGTAATGCCCTGTACAATACTTCGGCCTTGTCAAATTGACCTATTTGAAATAGCAATTGACCCAATCGATACCATCCGCTACCATCGATCTCTTGCCGTATACGATTAGTTAATTGATGTAGTTGTTGATCGTCATCTGCTGTAAGTTTGAGGTCCACTTGATAAAGTGAAGTGTTCTTGTCAATTTTTCGAACTTCACCAATTCGAAAAACTGTGTGCATCGAGAAGAGTATTTCATCTTCTAGTGCAAATTTACTCAGCTCTGGAATAGAGGCGAATGGAGTCGATAATTCTTTAGGATCGATGGTCATTTGAAAAAGAACACCGACCATATCTGGTGCTCCTAAGGCACCATTGGCGAAGCCGAGAGAAACAAGTCGATCTTTACTGGTGGATAAAAAGTTATTAAATGAGATAAGTCCACCTTTACTTTTAGCAATCTTGTCGAAGTCTGCCGTTGGTAATCCCTGTCCTCGATAAACAAGAAAGGTCTTACCATTATATTGATTAATTTGCTTGCTGTGTAAATCTTTAATTTGTCGGTGGAGATCACAAAGAAAAAATCCCATTCGGATTATAATGTCACCATCGAGCGTACGTAATGCTCGATTAAGCATCTGGAATGTAAAACATTGGCGGGTATACCACCAAGTGGCCTTTGATGCTTGATAAGTACGTTCAAATTCGTTAATAATGTTGAGCTGTCCTGGATTGCCTTGATATTTGTCTTGGCAAAAGGTGACCAAGTCTTTGATGGCCTGTTGGTTATGTTCCATATCAAGGAGAATTTCCTTGAATATTTGCGTATACATGAAAGAAGGTTCTAGCCGATTGAAATCTTCGCTAGAACCTCCTTCATTGACACTAATAACACTAACAGTTACCTGGTCTTGATTACATTGTTTGACGGCCACTGCTAGTGCTTTACAAATGTGTTTAATTGATGTATGCACACCTTTAATTTTGGACCAATTTTTGGCCCATTCTTGATGGTATTTTTGGTTGCCACAAAAGATGTATATGGCATCTAATTTTGGCATGCCGTGAATTTCTGGGACCAGATTTTGTCCGAGTGCTCCCGAAGAGATGACAAATGATGTCTCTTCGTTGTTTTCTTGGAGCTTGTCAATGCATTCTTCGACTGTGGTGCATGGATTTACTTCATTAACAACACTACGCAATTGCGCGAGTGTGTTTTGGCAATCTTCATTTGCCATATTGATATTATTGTCGACCCAAATCACCAGATAATTTTCAGCCATTCGTTTCCGTCGTTGTCGACTCATTTTGAAGAATAAATTTGCTGTTGAATCAGTATTGAGTACAATGAAAAATTGATGGCTATTTGGATAAAGTTCGCCTTTTCTATATATATTAGGTGTTGACTGTTTATTAAAATTCTTCTACGACATAAAATGTGGGTGTGGGTGTATGTGTGGGTGGGTGTGGGGTGTGGGTGTGGGTGGGTGTGGGTGTGGGTGTGGAGTGTGGGTATGGTTGTGGCTGTGGCTGTGGCTGTGGCTGTGGGTGTGGGAGTTAAAAAAAGAAATAAATTCACACCTACACCCACCTCCACACCCACCTCCACACCCACCTCCACACCCACACTCACACCCTAATTTGACGCTTTCGATTGTCGTAGAAGGTGTTACAGCCGGAATGGCATAAAACATGTTTTTCTTTTCTTTTTCGGTTAGTTTTTCCGAGAATTGCTCGTCATTTTTCCGCGATAAAATTAACAGCAAACTGAGACAACGAGTTTAGTTCACCTCTTTTTTTACCTGTCTTATTTCCACGGTTGTCGGCGATTTCACAGAAGCAAGAGGATGGAAAAAACTACTTCCTTTTTCTTTTTTTCAGTCGGTTATTCTGAGTATTGCTCGTTGCTTTTATGTGAAAACCCAACAGAGAAAGAGGAAAGGCTAGTATAGTTTATTTGCTTTTGGATTTGCTTGTTGCGATTTTTCCCGTAGATGTGACAGCCGCAGTAGGATCAAAAGTCATTGTCTCTTCTTTGACACATAGTCATTGCGAGAGTTTCTCTTTATTTTTCCATGAAAAACTTGGGAGAGAAACGGAGGAATGAAGTTTAGTTTGCTTCTGTTTTTATTGGACTTATTTGGATAGCTCTGAGACAGTTTACACAAGTAACAGGATGAACAAAAAATTGCCTTTCTTTTTCTTTTTTTCAATCGGTTATTCTGAGTATTGCTCGTTACTTTTATGTGAAAACCCAGCAGAGAAAGGGGAAAGGCTAGTATAGTTTATTTGCTTTTTGATTTGCTTGTTGTCATTTTTCCCGTAGATGTGACAGATGCAGAAGGATCGAAAGTCATTGTCTCTTCTTTTATAGCCAATCATTGCGAGAGTTTCTCTTTATTTTTCCATGAAAAGGTCGGGAGAGAAACGGAGGAATCTAGTTTAGTTTGCTTCTGTTTTTATTGCACTTATTTGGATAGCTCTGAGACAGTTTACACAAGCAAGAGAAGGATGTGGGTGTGGGTGTGGGGTGTGGGGTGGGTGTGGGTGTGGATGTGGGTGTGGGGTGGGTGTGGGTGTGGGGTGTGGGTGTGTGGGTGTGGGTGTAGGTGTGGGCGTGTGGGTGTGTGGGTGTGGGGTGTGGGTGGGGGTGGGGTGTGGGGTATGGGTGGGTGTGGGTTTGGGTGTGGGCGGGTGTGGGTTTGGGTGTGGGTGTGGGTGGGTGTGGATGTGTGGACATGGATGAACGTCTTCTCTCTAACTACACCCACACCCACACCCTTGGATATCACATGAACTAATCACATTTCATTTATTTTTAAAATTTAGCGGGATTTTGTTCGATCATGTCAGTTGCATTCTAGAATTACTAGTAATGGGATATGGATTTATTTTAGGTAGGACAGTCATAAGTCATCTGATACTAACTGGCTTATTGAAAATGAATTGTCAAGGACTATTGGTCATGAAGACAGATGTGAAGCAAAACTTTATTTAGTATATCCATTAAATCAAATAGTCCTGAGTGTAGATAAAGGCAAGACTGTAGATCACAAGTATTATATTGAAAATTCTCTGAACCCTTTTGTTAATGAAATACGGAAACAAACATAGACATCAGGTTCAAAATGTACAAAATTGCTTAAAGATGATCGTTGACTTCATACTCATCTGATGTTATTAATTATTTGACAGAAGAAGACACCAATATAATGTCATAGCAGTCACCTTCGTCAAGCCTGGTACTATGTAATTTGTGGCTAACTAATTTTATCGAATGTAGTTTAACTGATTAAATAAATGAAATATGATTAGCTCATGTAGTATCCAAGGCAGCTAAAAATTTTTTCGAAAAAGACTTCAAAAAAACTTTTGATAAATTGTTAGAAAGGATTGAACTTGATATAAATAATCATGGCAACTATCCTCAACATTTGATAAAATAAAATTAAAAATATCTCCTTATCTTTATATTTCTATTTAATATTGTGGGAACTTTTGGTCAGACCTAAGTATATCTTGTCTAAAATGGCGAGCCCTAATGAGTGTTTTAATATTTTAATAAATAGCACGAAACGCGTCGGCAGCATTAACCCTGTATTTCTTTTCAATTATTTTAATCAAAGCACATTAATTTTTTTTATTATTCTATTTTAATTTGATTTTCGACTAGGTCGATTGCTGAAAAGCAAGAGTTGAAAGCAGCAGATTGATTTGTATGATAAGCATATAGGTCGATCTGTTTTCAATTGATTTACGCACACCAACACCCCATACCCACCCCTACACCCACGTCACAATGTATTTTATTCTCTTATAGAACGGCGTTTCACGTTGTACGGCAATGTTCTAATCATAAGTTAGAGAAAATTCGTATGGATTTGACGTTTACAGTGACATAGAGAAAAACGAACTCAGACTTGCGTCGTGCTCGATTTCCAAAGTTTGCTCCTTTTTTCATTGAACACCTTAACGTATGATTGCGAGGGCATTATAAAAATGGCAAAAATAGCTATGTGTGGAATAAGTGAAAGTATGTAGGCGACGATTGCAAGTTTCAGTTCCCAGTCAGATTTGATACATTTGATGGTGAGCATAACAATAAGCAAAGGAAGTTTAAAGGCGACCATGAGAAGAGGACTGATGATAAGATCTTTGTGTTTATGAATTTGCTTCATCAACGTTTGCCAATAATGCTTATTGGTGTTGATAGATTTTTTAGTGCGTGCAAATGTTAAAAGAAGAATAAGTGCGCACACAAGATTGATCGCAAATGGTCCAATTGTGTTGATCAGACTAAGGATAATATCGTAGGTCTGTAGCCAGGCATGGCGAAATTGAACCACACACCAGAGGCGTTCGTCATTCCGTGGATCGATAAGAAGTACCCGGTTTAAAGGCTGATAGATCAAACTGAGCACCAGAATGATAAAAAGTATTGGCACAACGAATTTAACAGCACTCACGCTCACTTGTCGATTAAAATTGATGCCTTTGAGAACGCCAAAAGTGCGTTCGAATGCAACGCATGCCGTCAGACAATCGCATAAACATGTCAATAGTTTCAAAATGAAATCGAACAGAGTGCAACTGACAGTGAGAAAACGTTGACTTTCGATGATGGTCATTTGACTTACGAGCATATAAAAGAAACGTGCCACGAATATGACCAATGTAAGTAGGCAAGTATTTGAAAGAATAAACAAGTAATTACCACAACCCACCTGACGAATACTTGCATGGATGAAGGTGAAACCAGACAAAGCATTGGACACAAAACCGATAATAAACATGAAAACGACTAGCACCATTAAAGTCTTAACAATTGCAGGCTGTTGAGAAAGTGGTACATCTGTCAAGATCGTCTGACTGAGTATTGAGTCGAATGTAAGTGAGAATTGAGTCATTTTGATTTGACAAAAGTCTCCACCGAAGCATTCGGGACATACACAAACAAAATTCAGTTGACCCAAACGTTTCTTTTGTAAGCATCTACCGCTATTTTCACAATAATTACGATCCATACAGTTGCTTAAATTGTGATTGAAATGTAAACATTCAGACATTTTCTTCTTATCAATTAAACACATGTAGATTTCATCATAATAACACTGCGTATGTTTTAAGTACTTCTGATACAATTTGACCCGTTTGAGCCATTCATATTGCATTATTGTTGAGTTTAGATATTCGCTAACATGTGGACAACGATTTGTAACAAGAATTGACGTAGTCAGATTTTTCTGATTTTCTGGAAGTAGGGCAAGTAAATAATAGGTTCCATAGTGTGACGTTGGATCATGTATCAATTGCGCTAAAATAAGCATGGGCAAATAGCGCCGTTGATGATCGTAGATCAATAAATGGCTGTTCGATTGAATATTTTTGTAGAAATAAATATTACGATGAACGAGCGTACCTGGTGTTTTAGCTGTACTATGTAAGAAGTGAATAATGAGCCCAGGCACAAAATTGATTTCACGAGGAATATGAAGAAGAAATCGAGCATTGGAATATTGACACTTATCACCGAAATAATCCTCCTTGCAAACACAGATATATTCCGCCGTACGAATGCCCAGCGAAACACATGTGCCGTCATTTTGGCATACCACACCATTACAGGCATCGTACGGGA